TTCTTACTTACAGTTTATTTCATCTATGGATGTTCTGGCCAACCTTATTTACCACACCTCTACACAAGGTAACTAATTAACACAGGTTTCTATTGTTATTCTGGGACTGGTCTAGTTAATGTAGTAGCCACAAAACCTGCTCCTGCATAGACTCGCTTCCATGGGTGGAATCTCCTGCCAGAAGCCTGCTCCTGCGGGAGCTTTCCACAGCCTGCAGCTTCCGTCAAAGTAGATCCACCTGCACCCCACGTGGGGTGCTTCACTGGCTGCAGAGCTGATACCTGTTCCTCTGCAGTCCTCCATGGGCTAGAGGAATGAGCTGAGTTACCATGGTCTTTTCCACAGGTTGCAGGGGAATCTGTTCCCACATCTGGGACCTCCTGCCCCTAACCCTTTGTGTCTGCAGGACTGTTTCTCTCACGTTTTTGTCACTCTTCTCTCACAGCTGCTACATAAGGGTTTTTCACAGTCTCTTAAATGTTCAGTCTCTTCTCACAGAGCTTCCTCCCTCTGGATAGTAAAATTAGCAAATCTGGGATCGTTAAAGTTTCACCTGAAGATCAAAAGGACAGTAGATAAGTCACATTGCCAATCATACAACTTTTGTAAATGTGTTTTGTTTTGGCTTTGGTTTTCGTTAAAAAGAAGCACTTGCTTATCTACATGCAGGAGATTTCATTTGAATGAAATATGGAAACTGAGTTTTCTATTTACTTTCCAGGTTCTCCTAACAACCATTAATCAACACTGTTTATACATTAAAAAAAAAACCATATCAATGAGGATTTTTGCAGTTCTTGGTGTGGGGGTCTTTTTCTTGGTTGGTTTGGTTCTAACCTTTAATATAAAGATTTCTGTGTATACCCAAGAGGCCATCAGCTGAAAAATAAGATTACAACTCAATTTAACTGATGTCAAAGATGCAGATCACTTGGACAGAGTCTGTTTTATCACAAAATATGGAAGCAATTTTTGTTGTATGCAATCCCATCTACTCAGTAGTCTTCCTGCATTGTTAATTCAAGAATATCCTACCCATCTGTATATTAAAAAACACATGCCCAGTGCTGTACCTTATAAACATCTTGCTTGTAAGTCAAGCCACCATGCTTAGGCAACACAGCATCCAGTCATCCCTTCCTCTTCAAATACACAATGATGTGGAACTCTGGACAGCTGATGCTCATAAACAGCTGTCACAGTTCATAGCACTAGAACTTCACCTTAACCAAGGTTCAAAGCTCTCTAAGCAGCACACATTTCCTGTTTGCTGCAAAGGCCTCCGGAATCACAGGTGGAACACAACTATAAAATTAAAATACTAAAGAGAAAACAATATTCAGAAGATTACACAACACATAACAATCAAACATTAACACTTCTGAACAAAGTCCGGTGCAGGTTCATACCAGGTCATTGATTGTTCATTTGTTAACCAGTCACATAATCAGATTAGTTTTGTCCTGCAGCCTACCCCTGTGCTATGAATACTAATGCCAACCCACCTTTCATTTTACTAGCACAATTGCCTCCATTTAAATCACAATAAATTTGAGAGTAGCTCTCCTGTTACATACTTGAAAACACAGATTAGGTTAGAAAAAAGTAGAAAACATAGATTAGGTGAGAAAAAAGTCAAATGTTAAATGAAAAGCATATAGCAATCTATTTTTTCTGTTCCTTTCTTTAACATCTTGTAAAATTCTTGGCTCAATATGACATTATGATATTATGAAACTGAAACAATTTTGTGAAGTCATTTCATCTTTTCCTACTACTGTTTTCCTGCAACTCGTTCATTTTATGACTTAGATAAATATCTAAATGTCAGCCCAGTTTAGGATGAAACTAAGAACCAGAACACTGAAATACCCTCAAGGCAAAAATCACATTTTCCTGATCCACTGTACAAATCTAGCCCTAATGAAACTCTAGCTTTCCTGTATTTTACAGTAAAACTCTGTATGGTTTTTTTTCCTACTACTTGAGGAGGCTGCAAGGAGGCTGTACATCTACTGCTGCATGTATCACAGAATTTAGTCTGTCAAAATGGCAGAGGTGTGGATTTTTGCCATCATAGTGCATCTTATGATGATTAATAATGTTGTCTTGACCACCAGGTTATTAGCAAGCTATACTGAATGCTAACAGTCTTACTCCTTGCATTTCCTAACACATTTTTGGTCTCTTTTTCTGGCAAATATCAATAAAAACAAAGCAGATTGATCCTGTCTCCGAAGGACCTTATTTCTCTATTATTCTTACCAAATACTGCCTCTGACACCACCAGCATGTAGAATCCACATCAAATACATACCTTGCATTCAGTAATGAGGACTGCATTCAACTTAACTAATATTTGATTCAGGAATGCAAGCAGTGCTTGGAGACAGTTTACAACTAAAGCACCTTAAAGCACAAGTAGCAGCAGAATAACTCCTGCTATTATGGAAAAACTGATAAATGGCTCCTGAAACACAGCTGCAGTTAGTCAAGTCAAACTCCCAGCATTCTCACACAGTCTCTCAGAGAAGTCTCTATATGCTGGGACTCAATGCCCGAGTTATTCTATCTCTTCATTCAGTTTTCCTCTCCAGTTTGGATTATTGCTTAAATATTCACTACATGCCAAAAAGTCACAGTGTGAGACTCCCATTCTTCAAGCTCTGCTTTACATGCCATAACTTTTTATTAATCCTATCTGATTACTACTTTTTTCTCAGTGCAGTAAACAAAAAGGTTCTGCTCATCTGAAGATGATCAAAGCCGTCTGAACAGACATTCTGATGAAAGGAATTTAAATCTGATATTACAGCAGGCATTGAACTGTCCACTGAACTTAAATGTCATTTTAGAAAATTAGATGCAGCACAGAAGTTTAAGCACAGAAGTTTAGCAGTAGTAATGTCAGAAAAGCAACTTAAAACATACAGGCAAACCCCCTACAATACTTTAAGCATCAAGAAAGTTAAAGAAAAATATTTCCTTACACAGCAGAATATCTAATCCAGTTATGGAGAGAGAAAACCAAAATGTAGTCTGTCTAAAAAGTTAAATAGACACAAGTTTTTAAGATTGATCTCAGTGCAGTATGGGTACCACTTTTATTTGTAAAGACTATTAGTATGCCAGTATTAGCAAATGTCAGGGCAAAACATCAATTTCTGAGCAGTCTTCTATTTTAATGATGTTTTATATTTTGCCATTCCATAAGCAGTCTGAAATACAACCATTATCTAAACACCCTAAATTTTGTTTCTGTACTATTCTAACCAACAACTTTCTAGAAGAAGCTTTACTCACAAAATAACACACTGAACAATGTTCTTTGCAAACCAGCAGTACATCCTGCTGATCAGATAATCTTTCCACTTTATTCAGAAAAATCAGTTAGAACAAACCTACAAGCTACAATGTGCCTTCGATGTTATGTACTCAAATCTTTAATTATGGAAGGGAATCTATGCTGCATAATAGACCAAAGCAATAGAAATGGGCAGACAATCTAAAAATGAATGACCAATCTTCATACTGAAATGTGTATAAATATTAATAATTTCAAAATTATGCAATGTTTGAATGTTTGCAAATAGTTTCCTGTATGTAACTTTAATTTTGGAGTACTTACTGGATTCCTATAGGCAGACACTGAGCACCATGCTTGAACACCCAAAGGCTGGGGATAAGCTTTAAAGAAAATACACTCATACTAAAAGAGAAACTCCAAAAGTTTTATTAAGATTTCAACAGACATTGAAAAAAATATTGCATAATGATTGAAAACATAACATCTTAAACAAAGTAGCAATGTGGTATCAAGTAAAAGAAAGACTGGAACAGCTGTCTATATATGTTGTACGGAACATGTACCAGGAAAGGGATATGACATTTTTAAAATTCAAGGGCAAATGTGAACAGGTCACATTTTGATAGACTGACTATACACCATAGATGTTTTACAAACTGCATAGCAGTGTAAAAAAAAAAGTTTTATCCTAAGTATACTGTATTTCTGCATTTGGAGCAGTTTACAAGGCAGATATGTTGTTTACAACATTGATATTTTAATAGCTCTGGATTCTCATAAAAAATAAACTAATTTAACAAAAAAGCCTGTATCTACATTTGAAAATAAAAGTGCATGTATTGAGAAATAGTGTTATTTCTTAAAAAGAGTACTTTAAAAGTTCATTTTAATAGATCAACAACTGATGAGACTTTAAATGCAGTTCTGCACTGTGCTACAAGCGAGGTTCTAACACCAGTTCCTTTAACTCCTTTCCATAAGCACCAAGACACGTGCCTGCCTACTGTACTTATCAGGGTTCTGGGGAGTTACAAAGAATGCACAGTACCAAGACCACCACATTGCTCACTAAAAAATACCAGTAACCCAAGACAGATGTTTTGAAGTAGATTTAGCCATAAATGCGAGCATTATCTCCTCAACTTTCACGATCCTTCCAGTCACACAACTACTTTTAAACACTGCAGAGCAGCAGCAAGGAGCCATTAGAGCCGAAAGACAAGAACTGATGAAAGGCATCTCCTGCCTTCTACTGAAGAATTTGTGGGTAATGAGCATTTCAATGTATTCAAGGAACCAGGCTGGGGATGTAAGATTCCTACCTAAAACCCAGTTGGTATAGTCAGATCTCTACTTGAATCTAGATCCTCCTTTCCAGATAACTGTGGTAACAGCTAAGAATTACTGCAAACGTTGCTAACTTCTGTAGAGGGTTTACTCCTTTCTTCTCTTTACACAACAAAGAGGAGAAGTTGTGGAATGAGAACATGCAGTTTGAAGATCCAGGCAAAGCTTCTATTTGAGTTCTTATATTTTCAACTCATGGCACTGTTTTTTTGGGGTTTTTTTCTGAGCACCTGTAGCACTCTGAATAGAAAAAAAAGGCAGTGAATGTTTAGCTGGACTGAATCCAGAATGGGAAATGCAGAGATCCCAAAGCTGTGAACTGCAGCCAGATTAGCCATAAACAGAAATTGCAAGTAATAAATTTAGCCATTTTTGTAAACATCTTCTCCTTACTAATCTCTTTTTTTTTTTTTTTTCTCCTATAATGGAAATACACACTGTATTTCATTGTTCCGAGCTCTGGTCTGTTTCTGTTTTAGTTTTGTGGCACAGTTGCTAAGTGCAACAGGCTAGAGACACCGACAGTAATACAAACAAGTTGGAAAGTCAGTTCAAGTTATTAAAGTTTTGATATACCAGGCCATTTTTCATAGCGTGTACTCTCTGTTCACAAACACTTTGTAAGATCTTTTCTTATGGAAGACGGGAAGCAAATTTGACTTATTGGTTTAACAAATGTGGATTAACATAACATTTCTGATATGCCTTACACAATTAACAAATCATGTCTCATCTTATGAAGATGATACATTTGCTATACATACCAGTAATTTAAAATGCTCCTTATAAAAGCAGCATTTTTATAGACAAATTAACAGAAAAGGAGACAATACATGTCACAATACCACAGAACAAGTAAAGCCCTTTCATTAGCTGCACTATAAATTCATAACTGTTCATCACATACTTTGAATTTCTGACAGCTCAAGCAATTTAACCCTCAGCCAACTGCAGGACAAGGAAAAATTTTCTGAACATTTGACATTGATATCATTGTAGGTGTGAGAGTAAAAACTAGTATTCCATGGTTTTAGCTCTAAAAGTTTTGCTCCCAGAAGTAAAACAACTTGTTAAGAGTTCAGAAGAAGAAATAGCAATTGTTGACATGTCAAAACCAAGTTGTACTAATAATTAAGCTGCTGTAAATCTGAGTTCACTTACATCATTCCTAAAAAACCTTTAAAACCTTTCTTTAAAAAAAAAGCTGATCCTAGATCACCTGTTAACTAGGAAGAGCATTAGAACACCAATTTAATGAGAAAAAATGTGCTTAAAAGCTGTGTTTGAGACATCTATTATAAAGTTTTGAATTCTTCCTTATCTTTCATATATTTGGATCATAATTTGTTAAAAAAAAAAAAAAGACCAGACACAGAAGGTACAGGATTTGGAGAGGACTTTTCTCTCACTACAATTCAGTGTTTCCTATCCAAATGTGGATACCATTTAGAGGCCATTTTTGAAATGTATTCAGTCAACAGCTACATGGGCACCAGTGAATCAGAAAACACACCTTAGGATTTTGTTCTTAAATTACATAAGTTAGATAAAACTACCCTGTCCAGCAAGTTCCGAATTTTTCAAACGTTAAGGCAACTTTCATTACTTTCCAGCTAAACAGTGTTATAAAAAATAAATGTCACTTCAAACCTTATATACACAGTGACAGAGTAGATTTAGCTAGAAAGTATCTTTAGTACATTAATAAAGTGTCTCGTAATATTACCGAGGTTATATCAGGTGCTTGAGTGTATGTGCAATTGGAGTGGCTGCAGTGCTTAAAGTACTGGCTTCAAAACAGAGCGCAGCGAGCGTCCCTCCTTGGTGAGCTCTCGCGTCACACACATGCATGGCAGCGGCACGGCCTCCTCTCTCCTCTCCACGGCGTTGTAGCTACACTTCTTCAAGTGGTCAGCCATGCTCACAATGTCAGCAAACTTCCACTCATTCACAGTACAAAAGGCTGTACTGAAGCGCCAGACCTAGGAAATAAACTGCACTTAGGCTCACAGCGTTTCAAGATACCTGAACTCAGAGCAGCAAATCACATGCTTGTGCTATAGAACTTTCACGTAATGTTGCCAATAACTCATACTAAAAATCAACATGACAAAAATACACTATACAGAACTTAGTACTGTTTGTCCCAAGCTGATTGAGACTCCAAGACAACTCTGAACACTGGGAAGAAACAAATGCACTATTTTTTGTGTCCATAAAATAGATACAATCGGAAGTTAAATTACAAGGTATTTTAAGACCAACCACAATAGTTTGTTTCTTATCAACTTGTGCAATTCCAAACGAGTGCTGCAAATACTTTGTAGTTTGGAGTGGGGAGAACTGTAAAAACTGCATTACACAAAGGTCATCCAAAGGTTTTAAATTATTTCAATATTTAAGGCATTCAGTACCAAGGCAATAGATATGATCTCAACAGGCTTGAAAATAAAAATTGCTGTAAACACTACACAGGCAAGGAAAGCAAACTTTTGTAGGCAGCTTTCCCCCTTCTATGAAATACTGATCTTAAAGCAAATAATGAAGTAATCTTTTAACATTTTAAAATATTGGAAAACACAGAAGCTAATTTACTTACATCCAGCAAAAACTATACAGACTCTACTTCTGTTTCTCCAAGTGTGGAGAAGACTGAGACAACCCACAGCAATTTTCACTTTTTCTATACAAAGATCTCTTTCTTGAAAGGTTATTATACCAAAATCCAGTAGTAACAGACATAATATTAAGAAAAAAACAGAAACAGAACCAATATAATACTTTCCCTTTCACCTTCAAAATAAAAAAAATAGTAACTTACCTTTTCTTTTACCTGCCAAGAACTTCCTTCTGGGCACTTTCTCTTCTCCCAAAGCAGTATCACCATTCCACGTGCTTGAAGCAAGCTCCCACACACATCTCTCATTAAACGTGACACTCTTGAGAGCTGACATAAACTAAAGCCATCTAGAAAACTAGCAATGTGCTGCAGCACCTCAAAAGGTAGACTACTCAGATGGTCATTGTGTAGTCCAATTAAGCAGCTTTTTGCTGGTTCTACTAATACTGTGGATATGCAAGGCTGAACTCCAAATGACCGTAAGTGGCGGTCATGAATAATTTTTGCCCCTTGCGTTGAAGGGCAAAACCTTCGTTGAGAATACGTGCACCCATAATATGCCAAAGGGCACCTCTGCTCCATCCAGCCATTAAGGCCAGCATGAATGTCTCCATGCACATTCTTAAAATGCGACGAAAATTCATTCCTTCTAAACAACTGTCCACAAACAAATGTAAACATTGAACGCTGTTTTGTTTGGTATCTAGCCACATATTCCAATACCAAATCCAATCCAAGGGTCTGGAATGGACTTGGATTTGAGAGCTGTGGGTTGGCATGATCACATGCAGAAGCTGAAGCTATTTCCCCCACCATTGTATTTGTGGCCAATATAGCAGATGGGAGAGAAAACGTCTGGGTCCCAAAGTCAACGTGATATACATCGACAGCGCGACTTTCCGATATCCCCCTACCTCCGGGAGAATCTCCTAGGCAAAACAACAGAGCTGCAGTGATTAGATCAATTCCCTGAAGACCCATAGGATCTTCTGTTATCTCCAAATCTGATGTATCAACAGCTTTGTCTTCTTTTGGTGTTGACCAATAATGGTTAACAAGGAATCTGTACGATCGATGCCGTAAAAGTGAAAACGCATCTATGTTTCTCAATCTTTCTTGCTCCACTTGTCTCTCTAATATTTCTTCTTCATTAGCATTATGGGGAAGTAGCACATGATTAGCATTGCCATTAACTAAATGATCAGCTGGTATTACTTCAACTTGTGCGGTTACAGGGCAGGAGCTGCAAGACTCTAATGCTTCGTCATCATGAGATGCAGTACATTCACCATTTGCTACACTGGACGGTTTTGAGTTAGATACACCAAGATCTTCACTGTGGTCCAACACCTTTGAACATTCATTTTCTACATTTTCTACATGAAAACCATTACACAAAAGTGAGGAGTTACTGAGGTTTAGATTTAAATCATGGTTTTGCACTACATCATAACAAATATCACAAGAACCATTTTGCTCCATTTGTGAATTTTGACTCAGGCTATCAAAGTTAATTCCCCCAACTGCTCCTACATTATCTTCATCTGGATTTTCAGAGTCAGACTTTTTATCCTGAATAATGCCACTAGAAGCTTGTTCTTTAATCTTGGGATCTTCTTTCATTTCATGTGGTGAAATGCAGAGGTTTGAACTTAACATGCCAATGTCCCTTGTAGCAGTGTTCAGGATATCCAGAGCAGCAGCTAAACTTCTCGTTGTTTCTACAGTAGCTTGATAAAGTGCACCATAGGACTCTTCATCTACAGGCATCAAACCGTTGGTATGCACTGTATCGGGGGCACTTGATTTGACAGAGGTTTGCTCTCTGGATTCTGCTATTTGATCACCTGCTTTTGACATCATAGTTGCTACTTTAAGTGATTCTAATAACATGCGCTGGTCTTGAAGAGCTAAAGCCATATCTAGCTGCTCCACTTCATCGACATCTTTACTCAGGTTTTCGTAAGATTTTCGGTCAGCGTAACTGACTGGCCATCTATTCCACTCCATGGTACAACACACCACGCTTGCAGGACAAACTTCTAGATGATCAGCAATTTTGTTTCGGGCTACTATGAATGGACATCCAAAGCCACTATTCAAACAAGGCACTCTTTCAAGTGGACATAGCATGCGATGTTCCTCAGCTTTGCACGAGTGAAAAACTGCCCCACAAACCAAGGGGCAGCCAATGAGATCACAGGAAATGCCGGGCTCTGGTCTGGTCATACAACGACGGCTGACGCAGTTCACACAGTGTAAGTGCTGCTGATGTTCCTCCATGACTGTAAATCCAATTCTGAGGAAAGAGAAAGGAGACAACAGCACAGAATGTTAACTCAATATTGTTAATATTTACAAGCTGCTATTTGCAGTTTTGCATGCTTGATCAGTAGACATTTTAACACCTTATTTCAAAGAACTGGTGCTTAAAAGTTAAACTGAAAATTAAAAATAGACGTTTGTATCAGAGCCCAGAACATAGTCTACGCATTTATTTACCAGGTCTAATATATGCAACTTCAGTAAAGATGTTGTGTAATCCTTCACTGTGGAGCAGCCCCTTTTCCCCACTCATTGCAAAAAGATCATTCCATGAGAAACAAAGCATGACCTTTGACTATATAGCCAACAACAATTATAAATTATACAATTGCACAGAGTACAGAGACAAAATAAAGGAAATCAGATTCATCCTCATGTCCAATTCTCTAAATTAAACTGAGGCAACCTGTTCCCCAGGCTGCCTGCTACCACCTAAGTCGCTGACACTCTCTTCTTGCAGTTCTGTTTAAGGCAATCTGCAGCCTTCAGTAAGCATCTCAATTCCATGCCATGTCGCATTCTCTCCCCACTCCCTGCTTCTGACAGACTGCAGTCCTTTACAACAGCTCTTCACTCTTTTTCTTCATCTAAAGCCTATAGCCCCTCCCTTTATTTTCTACACTAGTTGTTGTACAAGGGTAGCAAATAATACTACATAATTACACTACACATTAAATAAGTCCTTTTATTTCACTGCAAACATTTACATAAAATTTTAGTTGCCTACATGGTCCTATCTATATGTCCACTTCAACCCACAAAAGGTAATTTTTAATGCATCCCATGGCCACCCTGATTATAATACCAGCAATTCAAAGTGTCAGGATATCAACAACTCTGCATAACAAGGCCAAACAGCAATAAAAACCAAAATACATATACATCCATGGTGCAATCTACAACAACACACTGACACCAACAAAAAATTCAATTCTTTGTTGTAGAAAAATAAACAAAAAACAAAGAAAAAAAAAAGAAGAGTAAACTTTGTGTCTTTGTTTCATACTTTGAGAAAGTCTGGAACTGCTCTCCCACTGGAGTGCAGGCCCACACAAGTTACCAAGCTCTTCCCTATGCTCTTACAAACTCCCTCTCAGAAGTGGTATCAGTAGGGATTAAAGTTCAGAGGTATCAGTGAATGATTTGTACATAGCCAAATCTCAAAGATACATTGTTCATTCCATCTTTTCCTTACTCCTCTCCCTCTAGCAATTTTCTTGAGAAATAAAATGCTCAAAGAACTTAAGATTAATAAAAATGGTTCCTTATTCTGCTAACAAGTGCTCTCATGCACTGTCTTTAGACTAAACACTTCAGGTTTAATGCATTAAACCTTCCTAAATTACAATTACTCTAAACTATAAAAGGAAAACTGCTTCCATGGAAACTGAAGTCAAAAGGAAACCAAAGTGCCTTTTAGACACTCCACCTTAAATAATTTAAAGCATTTAAACAGAAATATATGTGACACCTCACTCACTTGTATTCTTTTATAATGCTTTGAAATTCATGCCAACTTTAAGTAGCAATCAGTCCTCAACCCCCCATGCTTCGTAATTTGGATAACTTAAATATTTTAGCCACCCACTCTCCTCAGCACTTTCAACAAAAAGGCATATGTACTACACTTAGCAGGCAAAACACAGCTGAATTTCCCCCACCATACCTTAGCATTTATATACTTAGTAACACTAAGTTTCAAATAAATTGTCATGCGTATCAGTCACTGGACTCAGTGACTGACTTGTTCAACATTTTTGCAAACATCTCCTGCACACAACCTGCTTTTGACTTGCAAATTAAATCAGATAGCACCTACTACAAAGAGATTAAAAACATGCTCAGTAAAGAATGAAAAAATTATTTGACTTCTCCGAAGACAACTTTAGTTCTTCCAGCAAAGCCCTCTCTGAGTAATTCTTGCCAAATACCGTGGCCTGTTGCTAGACCCAAGAAAATCTCAGAAATTTCCGTCAATACTGAAACCAAACAACTTCTCCTCAAGTCAACAGGTGAACAGAGATCAAAAGGAAGCACTCAGGTTATATGTGTATTTTAAAGTAAGACAAAATGGAAATAGCACTGAAAAAGACAATCCTAGTTTATAATGCCAGGGCCTTTAGAGAGCCCATCCCCTACTTCCTCTATTCTAAACAGGGTCCTGCTCCCACAAAGCAACAGCCTGCTCACTTCAAGCTGGCCAGAAGTGAGCCCCTGGGAGAGCAGCACGTGGGTGTGCTCAGGGCAGGAGTACCAATGACTCTTAGGATGGGACAGTGTATTGCTAACTGGGCTCAGCTGCACAGGTCTCACCTGCCCATGAGGGCACCCGAGATGACCCCTGCCTCACTATGGGGGCTATGGATGCTCTCAGCTTCACCATCCACTTGACAGCGCCCCAGGCGAAAAGAGGGCACTCATGTCATGAGCTGCCAATGCCCTTTCCCACAGGGTGGAAAAGCTGGGTACAGTGTGACAGCAGCCCAGGGGCAGTGCTGTCAAGACTCACAGGACACCCACAGGAGCAGGGATGTTCCCCCACAGCAGCGAGGGGCTGCCCTGGGTGCTGCTGCCGCATGGCTCCATGCTGGGCACACCCTGGCGTGTGGAGCAGGGGAGGACACACGTCCTTTCCAGAGCCTCAGGGCTGCCTGTAGCCCATTCCATACTGACTGTGACACTTCAGTGGGAATTTCACATCAGCACCATCAGATCATGTCAGGATGTGTTGCATGACAGCAATTTGGGCCAAAATGTTACGGATTTTGGGCAAGGCAGATGAGCCACCTCCACTCAGCCCAGAAAGGGGACATACATGAATTATGTTGGAAAAACAGCATACACTGCAAAGTCAGCACTATTCTACAGCTTCTAGGCCAAAGCTGGCCCACATGCAGCAGCTCAGAACAGTCAAACTGAGCTCATGTTTGCCTGCACTGTTTCTGGAGACATACCCTAAATTAGTCAACCATCATTAAATAGTATCTTTAAATAGCCTGAGCTTACACAGAACATTCTATTAAGACAGTAAAACATCCTCCTCCCCAGCACACTATCTTGGTCTTTACAAGTCGGATTGTGAAACTTGAGTTGCACAATGATACTGGCTTTTCTCAGGCTCCTGAACTCCTTTCACTCATAAGCTAATATTCATCAAAACTTAATTATTTCATATAAGCAAATGACCTTTCAAAGGAAGAAGGAAACAAAATCTGGTGAAAACATCAAATATCACTAACAGACAGCGTGTGAAAGCCAAAGCCGACACTAAAATCCCAAGTCTTATCAATAGGTAGATGCTAATTTGTTCTATTACAGATGCTTCAGATTGGTTTTATCAAGAAACAGTTATGCACAAAATCGATTAAATAGCTGAAGTAACTTATTCTCTCAGTTTCTATAAATCAGAATTTTACTGGTCACCAAGAAACTTGATATTAATTATCATTTATCTTAAAATTCAAATCCTTTGGCTCATTTTCTAAACATATAATTTAAAATATCTTCAGACATCAGTAAACCATCAGAACATTCGCTAAAATTCTGTGTTCTGCTTACAAGCCTTAACTCCTCAGTACCTCCTGCAAAACTTCAATTTAGTCAGAATGCTGCATTTTATTTGTAAGTTACTACAAAGTCTCTTTAAATATATTAGATGTCCTTTTATGCATTTTTAATTGTAATACTTGAGCTTCAAACTCAACAGCTGTTTTGGGCAGTCATGAGTTCCTGGACTGCTTGAACTACTTTAGGCTTCTGATATAATTCAATTCTTAAACTGCAAATTAGGTCCAAGGGAAAAAAAACAAATGACCCTATCAAACTGGTAAAATAAATAGATAAGACCTCAAGAATTAGCACACTGATTAATCAGCAAATGGCCATGACTCACTCTATTTTGTAAGCTAACTTTGTAAATCGCAGAACTTAGCACCTCTTTCATTCATAGATTAGGAGCATTCACATATGAATAATTTCCTATTAAAGAACCAGGACCAATATATCATTAGTACTACACTGAGAACAAGAACCACCCTCTTCCCAAATACTGCTTTGAAAAGAAAAGATCTGTTGGGTAAAGGGGAGATAAAGAAAATTCTTGCTGGAGGTAACAAGTCCTTTTATTTCCTCTAATACAGCAAATTGAAAGGGCTAGCAAAGAATGTCATTGCTGACATAAAGAAAAATACCTTTTGTTAAAACACCAATAATATTGACAGAGTTTATATCCCACTGTGTTCCTTGTCACAATATGGTCAGAAGACAGTGTCAGATCAATGACTACAGCAAGAACGAACAGCTGTCCTTTTCTGATAGTGTAGTGTCAGCAACCAGCTTCAGTTCCTTCAGTTCAGGGTGCTGAAGTACATACACTTGACTGTTACTAGCAGAGAAACCTAAAAATACATCCCGTTCCAGTGAGGTGACCACTGCTCTCAGAATTTGTGCCATCACTTGATGTTATTGTACATACTATACAGTCAGCTGACTAAATCAGCCAGAACATGCTTTGAAAATCTGTCATAATTAAAAGGATTAAAATTCCAGCTGCTACAGCCACGTGATTTCCAGTTGCTGTTGTAACACAAACATTAAAATAGCATAATAAGGGTTTCAGACACGCACAATGCTTCAGCTGCAAGTGTGAGCTCTTACTTTCTTCTGTACCACAAAAAAACTGTACTTAGCAGTATCAAGCTCAAAGCCTGCTTGCTCACTCACTCCTATATGAATACTTTGGGGCCAATAAGACAGGAAATCACAGCAACCATTACTGCTATTGGAGCCCTCCATTACACAGCCCCCTATTATTCATCAAACCTATAAAGCTCAACTACCTTTAAGACTCTTCTATCAGATTCAACTGAATAGACCAACAGGTTCTTAAATTAGTGCTTCAAGGAAGTAGAAGACTAGAGACACACAAGCTGTACTACAGGTTTAAACTCCCAGGAGCATCCAAATCCACCCACAAGCAAATACATGCAAACCATACTAAAAAATTCCCTTTTGTTTTGGACACTGCAGAAGTGATGCCTTAAGTTTTAGCTTTTATATTTTTCAGATCCTGTACTGCATTAGTGTATAACTCTGAACTCCACACAGAGTGTTAGTTAGTCCTTATCACAGTTTGGCCTGACAAAACAATCCTTCCAGGCCTGAGAGCCAAGGTGATCATCACAGCCTCAGGCCGAAAAGTATAAACAAAACTAAATTGGGGGAGCAAACCAGGGGAGTGGGACTTCATTACCTGAAGCTGCAATTGGACAATTAACCCCTGATATGGAAATAGACTACACTTGTATCTGCCCAAAAAACTCAGGACCATCATCCATCTTGGGTATAGCCTCTGTGAGGCTCCTGCACTGCCCAAGGTGTATCTGTTAAAAGCCTTTGACAAATGCTCACTTTATTCTCTAACTCTGTCTAGCCTCTGTTCAAGCTAGCTGGTCCAAGGCATCAGAAGAGACAGCTGTATATCTTCCATCTTTTTCCCAGGTTTCTGTTAGGAGCTTCTCTTTCAGATGCCAAACTTAAATTCTCAACCTTACACAATACTAATTACCACACCCTACCCCGAAGTTCATCAGGACAACCCTGATTTCTGTTACAAAAAGGTAGACCAGGGAAGCTAAAACCATATTCAAAACAGTTGGATGGATGAGTGTTCATTGCATCCTCAAACATAAATTCATCCACAACAAAGACAAGAACATCTTCCCTGGCTGGTAGTGACTGCACATACTGAACATACTAGAACAAGTTTACATTAATTTATTGTTAATCACTGAAAACATGAAAAGAGCTCCTATTACTAAGCCCAAACTACTACGTAAGCAGGACGCTACTTCAACCATTACCATCACAGTCTACAGCTATTATTATGTATTACACAAAAGAGACAGAAAAAGGTTACACTAAAATAGAAAAAGGTTACACTAAAACATGGCTTTTTACTGCAAGAAAAAAAAACCCTTGGGGGAACACATACTTCTGGAAAGATTCTAGTTCTCTCAGTGGTCTAACATCGAAGGAATATATACACTAGCTGCTTTTTTAAGCATAAATCAAAGTTACCTATACACCTCACAAACAAACCAGACCAAAAAAGGGAAATCTGTAACTACAGCAGAAACAATGAGCACTATAGAATTATAGGGAATTGCAACCTTTTTTATGCCAACCTTATAAAGAAGACTTTTCCCTGTCTGCCCCTGCCCCAAATATCCTTTCTTCCTAGTGGCAAACCATCTTCCTACCATTCAGAGAATACAGTGCAATTATTTCCTCCCAAACCGTTGCAGCAAAAAAAAAAACTAAAATAAATTCAAGGGGAAAAGAGACGTTTTGACTGAAGTGGACTCTCCACTGATGCCCTCCTTGTCTGGCTTTGTTACATTTTAGAACAGAATCTCTGATGAAACCACAGAACACTTTCTTCTATCATTGTTAAACTCAGTTAAAAGAGTGCTAAAAATCAAAAGCCAAACTACTAGGCTTTTCTTTAGAGTACTTTTGTGACAGATCTGCCATGCATTCTTGCTTCCCTGACAGATTTCCCTGAGAAGAAACCCAAAAAGCTCAATGTGCCTTGGGGCACACATGGACACAGGACAACTGCACAGAGGAACAGCTACACTTGCTGCATGGCTCAGGCACAAAAGCACTCTACCTGTTGAGATGGTGACAGGGCAGAATCAGCTACAGAGCCAGTAGATTTCATGTGTAAAGCACTTCTGAACTTGAACACAGAGTGACTCCTCGATTGCTGCAGATTCTGCAAGAAATGAGATCAGAAGTAAGGTTTCATTTCAGGTGTAGACATTACTTTATGTATGTGCAATCCCCTGAAAAGGTACGCACTTACACTGTCTGGGGCTACAAACACTGAAATTTTTTGTAGATTTTATGGGAATATAAACAAATTTTTAATGGACTTCCCAAGTACAACCTAAGTTCTGTCATTTTAGCTTATTGCTAGCTGTTAGTCACACTGGATGGTAACCTAATTATATTTAAGGCTGTAAGACATTATTAAAAGTTATTATTCTGAGCTACTGCACTTAATTCACTGCTCTGACCATTTCAGGAAAAAAAACCCCTAAATTCATATGAAAGAATGCAATAGTTAGAGAACTAAAAGAAATACATAAAGTTAGATTCTTTTACAAACTGCATTTTAGTCTAGTTAAAATTTGTCCATCTTCAGTCTTCATACATGGGAACTTATTGAGCAAGTTGCTTACTATTAAAAAGCTTTTTACTATAACAAGATGCTTCTTCCATTGCTTCATTCCCAAGGATTACCACTAAAACTTGAGAGAGGTGAAACCGAGGGGATATGCCCAAAGGAACAATGATATTCTTATCCCAATACCAACTTGCAAATCCTCCAGAAAAGCAGGAAAGAAAATAAGCCATTTCTCAGTAACCAGAAACAGAACTACTGGAAAAATAATGCATTCTGTATTACAGTAGGTAGTTTGAACCATCCAAAAGAAACCAAAAATAAATCCTTCTTACGTAAGATTTTAATTCATACATGCTGCTGCCAAAGGATTCCTGACCTCTGCATACTTAGAGAAATCAGGCCAAACATCTCATTAATATATTGTTTCAGGTCTTACTACACAAGTTTAACCAGGTCCCATAGCAAAATGACAAAACAACTCTAATAGACTACGAAAGCAAGTTTTCTCCAACATCCTACGTTAAAGTGCAATGTCATGTATTCTGTCCACATTATGTTTTCTGTTAAAAAGATACCCTTGGTAGTAGACAACGGCCTGGCTAATATGTAGCAAAACAAACAGTACACAAAAATTTAACAGACATACTCACAAGGATACCTTATCAGATGACACTGAAGTAGATATGATGGGAGTTTGTCTCAAAATATTTTGAAAAATTTGAAGTAAAACAAAAATATTCAATATTATAAGACAAAGTTTTGCCAACTTTATTCTATTTTCAGGTATTTCTTATCAAATGAAAGACACTTTTTTCAGCAACTGTCAGGCTTTTCCCCCTTCCAAGCTGCTTGGTTTTAAAACCAATAAAACAGTAAAAAAAAAAAAAAAGATAGTTCTAAATAAAAACATTGTCTAAACCAAACCTCACCTATCTCAAAGAGCTGATCACAGAAAGCTGGGAATATATCTCATAGTCAGCATGTCATACCAGCTCTTTCAATATGTTTCTAACATGAATGAAGAACTGGAAAACATAAACATCTTCACCACAAGTTGGTACAGGGTTTTAGGACATCTGATTATTCATCAATTTGTTATCTCTAATATCATTTAGACCACCTTTTCCAAATGTCAACAAGCTTGATGCTATTTCTTTTTGCCCAAGGACTCCAGCTGAACGATCCTATCCAAACACATTCCTTATCTGGTGACAACAGTGACTCAGACAAAACAAGGTTTTGTAAGAGCATTAAAGCTTTGCCAATAAAGCACACTCCTATAAAGACCCTATTTGCAATGAATCTATCAACAAATTTCTCTGTCAAACAGGACTTTTGGAAAACTACAGTTTGTCCTAGAGATGTCTCTAAATAGACAAATAAAAGACTGAACTTCAACAAAACACCACCCATCTTCCAGCACCTCTGCAGCAAAGCCTGAACCAGGTATCACACTCAGCCTGAACCACTACCTAAAGTTTTACATGAACAGCTGTAACTATATCACTCAGAAGCTCACCTCACCATGCCTCTCATTCTCAAGTCTTAAGTTTAGACCTATCATATTTTCATTGTGATCTCACATTAAGAGCTCAGATCAATGCTGGACATTTGGTAAGAAACAGCACAAACCACTCAACCAGATATTGCATTGACTGCAGGGGTTTGCAGGCTCCTGAAGCTTCAAACAGCATTAAAAGATTACTGAAAGATTATAGTAAGACACCAAGTGTCGCACCAGAAACTTTAAAAAATAGTAGCTTGCAAAGTAAGTCAGAATATAGAGCTCCCCTGCCATTTTAACTATCTTGCCCTGTTTCAGAGCAGTTTATATTACAAGACTTTTCAGTCTTTTTCCTTCATTCAATATTGAGACTAGAGAGTGCCCTGACACTTAGGACAGCTTACACAGATTTCTCAGTAACCATCAATAATGCAAATATTTGTTTCTTTGTGGTCTGTTCAGGAATACTTACCACCCCTTATACAATCTAACCATCTCACCAATAGATACATTATTCTCATTATGCAGATACAGAAACTGAAGGGAAATTGTCACCAGTACAATGATGACTATACATCATTCCCTACTCCCATCTTTATTCCACTGGATCTCATTGCCAGAGGCAAACAGCATATGCCTCCTTTTAGACAGAGCCCAGCAAAGAAATAGGTCTATGGATATGAGGAAAATTTTGCTCCTTTTAGTTCAAATGGACTGAAGGCAAACCAGGGGTTTCTTACACAGCTGAAACCTGCAGCAGCCACAGGAATTCATTTGAAGACTAATAACCATATGCTTTCTTCTTCACAAAGTTGTAGACTACATCCTCTGCTGTAGACACTCCTCACGACCTAAAAACCTGGCTGTACAAAAAGGAGCAGAAATCTTGTCCAGAAGCTTTCCAACCAGATATTGCTTGTTAAACACAGCACTTATTTTGCCCATCAGACTTCTAACTTTGAAGTAGGAAGCAAGCGAAATATAACCCGAATTTAAGAAGTTAATTGTGTAAATACAGAATTTAGTGCAAAAAGAAAGAATATTTAGGCAGCAGAGTAAAAACACTGGTTTTGCATAGCTTTTGCCCATTCTGCTGGGATTCTCCTGTTCTCCAACACCTTCCAACTTTGGAAGCAAATGAGAGAAGAGATCCCACAAAAAGTCTCAGCTTGCAATACAATCCCAATTCACTTTCTCTAATCTATTTCTTCTCTTGACGAAACTTGACCACTATGGAGAAAGTCCACATAGATATTTACATGCATACAGAGCGAAACTACCAGTTCATTTTTCAGTATTCCAGGTACTCGATTTGCTTACCAACAAAGTTCTTCTAATATTTTCTGTACTTCTGGGAGAAGGGAGCAGGGAAGAAGGCCACAGATAACTGACATCCTCCTCAAACCGGCTGCATGCACCTGAACCCCCCAAACCACAGCACCAGTGAAGGTGTAGCACACCAAGGTGAAGCAGAAGGCAGCAGGTTTCCAAGTGAAGGACTTAACCATCCACACCAATTCTAGGGAAAGCAGAGGAGATATCTTGCCTTAAGTGCCAGCACAAGCAAGGCGAGGCTGTTACTTCAGGGGCACTGGGTTTGGACTAGTATGTTAACAAACACTTCTCTGGCATTATTAACAACACAATCAGGGAAAGGGAAACAAGGATTATGAAAAGCTCCTCAACCAAATCCAAGTAGAGTTTTAAAGAACAAAAGAAAGCCACTTCTCCAGCCCACGGGTTATTTCCCTTAAGAATTTGGAAGACCTGCTGCGAACAACAGCGACGCTGGAACTTTTGGAAGTGTGGCCACACAACCGTTCCAAGACGCGAGCCGTTCAACAAGCCGCTGTCATCTCCCTGTACGCTTCTGATGGCCGACCCGCGGGGTTACAGGAGTACAAGCACACAGCCCTCGTTACCTTCTTCAAGGAGGGAAACAAAGGCTCCACCGCACGTCAAAAAACTGCCATTAAAAAAGGGACCGAGAGAAGAGAGAAAACACCACCTCTTGCACGGTCTGAGCACATCTACTCGAAATAACACACACACAGGGGATTAGGGAAGGATTTCAGCAATACCTCTGGACTATTTGCTCTCTTCTCCCTCCTTTCACGCCGAAAGGCGACTCTCCGACAGCGGTCTCACAGCCCCAGGCAGACCCCGGCCCTACGCCCTTCCCACGTGCAATCGCGACACCCCGAGAGCGCTGGCAGCACGGCGGGGTCTGAGGGAGCGGCCGCGGCACAGCTCAGTCCGCCGCCACCCGCGGGGCCGGCGGCGGCGGCACCCGGCCCGGCCCGGCCGGCACACAGCCGGCGCTGCGGGCCCGCGGGGCAGGGGGGCGCGAGGAGGAGGCGACGCCGGCGGAGCCGCACACGGAGCCCCTCGCGGCCTCTGCCAACGGCGACCTGTCAGGGCTGGCGCCGGGGAGGCGCCCCCGGGCGCTCGGGCCCCCGCCGGGCCGCCATTTGTTTACCGCCCGGCTGCCGGGCAGCGGGCGCGGCCCCAGGCGGGCGCAGGGCCCGGCTCTCCCCGCCACTCGCGGACAGCAGCGGCGGCGGCTCACCCGTCCCCGTCGCTCCGCAGGCAGGCAGGCAGGCGAGCAGGCGCGGGAGCCTGCGTTGCGCCTCGCGCTTTCCCCCCGGGCTCCGGCCGCCGCCGCACTCGGTCCGCTTCTCTTCTCTTCTTCTCGCTTCGCTTCGCTCCGCCTCTCCCGGCCCGGCCTCGCCACCAGCGGGGCTCCCGGCGCGGCCCCGCTCCGGCCGCGCCCCCGCCGGCCGCGCGCGCGCGTGCCAGCGACAGGGCCAGGGAGCGCGCGGGGCGGGGCCGCCGGGGGGCGGGGCCGAAGCCCGGAGTGCGCGGGCGCCAGCGCAGCCCCGTTCGCCCTCGGCCGAGGGGGCGGGGCGCCCGGATGCCGCGCGCTCTTCCCTCTTCCCCCCGCGCGCGTGCGCGGAGGCGGCCGCGGGGCCGTGAGCGGTGTGAGGGGCCCCGAGCGCGCCTCTGCTCCGGGGCGGTGGGTCCGGTCCGGCCCGGCGGGAGCCCCTGCTCTGCCCCTGGGGTCACTGCCCCGGCAGCGCTCCCGAGCCCTCCTGTGCTGGCGGTGGCGCAGGCTGAGGGCACGGTGAGCACGGCTGCTGCCTTGAGTCCAGACAGCCGCTCCGCTCTCCTGGGGCCAAATCACCGGCCCTGGTTCCAGCGTAGATCCACCACCACCACAATCCATCCCGTTAACCAAAGTCACCTTTTCGGGGCCTCTGCCGCCACTGGGCCGTGCTAAAGCTGTCACCTCAACAAAAACTTTCCTGGTAGCCATCAGCAGCACTGCAGTATGCCTTTCGGTGTTACCGACAATGCTTCTCTAACGCCTTTCTTGGAGTGTGTTAGACTTCTGGTCCAGATCTCTATTCCCAGAAACTTGGCCGTGCACCCACAGGTGCTGATTACTGAGCCTTCCTTGGCAGGTGCTGCCCTTCGGCCTATGGAAGCCTGTCCTTTAAGAGGCTGTAGCTAGGTACGAATTATACAGGGTGTTACCCCTGTGAGGGTTCTTACTCCTCTTCTGCATGCCGTGTTTTAAGGGGCTGCAGTGTGTCTTAAGAGTCCTGAGAAAAAAAAAAAAACAGTTTAACTTGGACCATACCCTTTTTTCAGAGGTAGAATATTAAATGTACAGCTAGATATGTGTGGCTGCAGAAGATACAGAGCAAGGAGATTAGTTAATGGACAAGAAAAATATTTTTTCTATAACTTCCAGGAAAGCCTTGTTGGTCTGCACCCAGCTTTTGAAGACCTTGTTTCCATGCTATTTGTGTAGATTTTTGTTGGAGAGAGGTTATACATGTTGAAGAGCTGGCCAAATAGATCCTCTCAATCTCTCAGCACCTAACCCACGTGTCGGGAGTAAGTAAAAATGTGACTATTCAAAATTTGACTGTTTAAAAATGTGACTATTGACATTTATCATCTTAGCAGTGTCTTACTTAGAGAGCCCGACGGAAAGGCTCATTTCAATAAGAAATCATTTCCACATTAGCTATGTAAGACAAAGTGTAAGATGACCTTAATATTGAGGCCTCATTGCTAACACTTCCTATAATAAGTACTCTCAGGGTTGCCCCACCCTTATATGACAGCCTTGATCTTCCTTGATCCTGAGGACAGGCCCTTTTTTTTCCCCTCATAGGTTTGATTATAGGATCTGTATATATTAATCTAGCCAAGTGAGCTCCGGAAGATGGTAGGGATTGGCATCATGACTCAGAGAAGCCAAGCAGAATCGTTTCATCTGCTCATCAGACAATTATGTAAATTGCTGGGCAGAATCCATGCAGACAGTCACTGGTTTCCCAACTGCCTCTCACTGGCAATGCCTGCTGTGGGACAGGTGAGGTTACTGAGCTGCTCACTCTCACCTCAGTGGAGCTTGCTCGCTGCCTGGCTGAGGTGTTCATTACACAGGCTGTGGCAGGGCTTTTGTGTCCAGCTGGCTCTGTGCTGGAGTGAGCTTCTACGACAGAAGAGGGGCTTTTTATTTTAATTGCTTCTTTTGAGTGAGGAGAATGAATTTCTGTGGCTTGGACTTCCTTTCTCATGCTTCATCTGGGACTTGTCTCCTCGTTCAGTCATTCAGGGGACAACCTGTTTCTTCTCTAATGCTTTGGTGAATATGCTTGCTCATGGTCCCATAGCCCGTAGTGCCCCACCTGACAGTCATCATCATTCTCATGAACTACTTTTATAAGGTAAACAGGTGAGTTTTAATCATACAGTTTGGCTAGTACCACTGACCTACAAACCAGAGGTCTTTGAGGATTCACTGGGTGAACCACTGGAGGGGTTATTTTCTACTGGCTTAAGTCCAAAATGACTGAAACTTCATTCTGGTTACTCATAAATGGAAAATGAATATCCATGTCTGGTCCACTATTGTTCTGTACATGACACCGTCACTGGAGCCAACAGGACAGTGAAGTGTAAATTCTTGAGGCACTGTGATTTCTGTCTCTCCCTTCATCTGAAGTAAAGTCTGCATCAAATACCAGGGCACTTGCTGAGATGTGCAATCAATCTCCTGTAAGCGAGTGGCTGTATGTGAAATAAACCACATTTATTACTAAGGTTGTGGGCAGTGCAGTTTGTTTGCTGTCACTTTCTACAAAATGGGAATTATTTAAGCCCTTTCTAATTTCAAATTTGAACTATCACAGTCGCTTTTCCCTGATGGGTATTAATGTCTGGAAATTCTTTCAACATGGAGACACAGAGTGGGAAAACAAATTTCAAGTGTTTCCGAAATGCATTTGCAAGTAGGTTTACTAATGCGCGAGCATTCATATTTAGCAGTGTGTAAAAATAAACAGCTGAGATCTGCCCACAAAGCCACACATGCAATTTGCACTGCACAGCTTTGACAGCAGGATGTTTCCAAACAACAGAGACCTCAAAAGAAGTTTTTTGCCGCTCTTGAGCTTGTATTTTCAACCTAAGCCCATTAAAAGGTCTGATACTTACTTTAATGCCTTTATGGTTATACCTTTTCAAGCAAAGCCTCTCCTCTTTAACAAGGTGTTTTGTCATTTAAAAAAAAAAGCTATTAAGCAGCCTAGAGACTTGAAGTAGCATAGTAATACCTTTTTTAAAGCTTTTTGAGTTGATATTTTAAAACATCTGGAACATTGATTATAAAAGAAGCTGCCTGATAAGCTAATGAATTTAGGGATTTTCTGTTGTTTCATCCTGCTCTGTCTTTAGCATAAGAAGGGTTTTTTGGTAGAAAGATCTGCCCTGTGGGGTCCGATGTTCCAATGTCAGCATAATTGCCCACCTACCTAGTTACAACCATTAAAGCTGCAGTGGGTGGTTGCTCCAGTTGTTTTGTGGGAATTCTTGGTCCTCAACCTGGCTCAGGTTCTGGGATATAAATACCTTCATAACCACAGAATGTTTGGGGTTGGAAGGGTCCTCTGGAGGCCATCTGGTCCAGCCCCCTGCCACAGGAGATTCACACAGAGTAGGTTACCCTGGATTGCCTCCAAGCAGGTTTTGAGTATTTCCAGAGAAGGAGATTCCGCAACCTAAAAAGTCAATGAAATTTTAATCCTGCCAAATTGGACTGCCTTGGTTGATTGTAGACCCAGGAGGAAGAGTGTGATACTAAGCATCACAGTGGTGGTCTTCTAAACAAAAGGAACTCAAAATGATCCAGTGCCATAGACATGTACAGGATACCATTTTCTGGGATATGATATTGCCTCTTCAACTCAGGGGTTGCTTTCATGGGGAAGAGCTGTTTTCAGCCATGTGGGTCTCTCCTGGGGGTTCACAGGGGCTTCATCCTGTATGATCCATCCTCTATGAGAGGATGAATCAGACTCCAGTCTAAAGGGAAAACTGTCCATGATGTGGAGTTACATCTTCCATTATGGATGACAGCTAGGCTAGACAGGACTTTAGGACTGAATTGTTCCTAAAGTTATCTGAGTACAGCATAGGCATAGGTAACCTGATGGAGCTGTGCCTGATTTGGAGTAGTGGAAAGAGGGAAGAGATGGGGCCTCTGACACCACATTTGAGAGGAGCTGTGTGAGTGGCTGAGTTTTACACAGCAGCATCAGGAGACCTCTCTGAGCTCAGGAGGATCACTGCATCTCCTGAACTTAATAGCCCAAAACTGGGTTTTAGCAGAACTAGAGTGCCCCATTAAACAAATAAAAACCAGTGACATAACGCCTTCACTGGACGTAATTCTCTTTGGCACTGGTAAGTTCTTT